GAGCTGGAAGTCTGGTTATGTGCCACGCTTAGGTGTCTTCTCATTTCTAATTTGGTTGTTGGTGCTGTCTTTTTAATTGCTGGGCTGATACTTCAATATTGCTTATTGTGAGTATCTATAACTTATATGTAGAGCCTTTATGGAATGAGTGCTTCTCAGTTATCTTCCAGCTAATCTTTTTAGGATTTGAGTCTCTAATAACTCTTAGGCAATCTCATTTTTACTATACCAGGGAAGACACTGATTAGATGAATTATGACAACTTAGCCCAACTGATATTATCAGCATCAACAATAGTATCAAACATAGCTTACAAAATGACAATTTGTGGTAGTAGTTAATAAGTCAGCTTTAACTGTATGAGCTAGATAGAAATCGAGGACTAGCCCAAAATATGTTTGTAGTAAATAAACCCTTCAATACAGCAAATTTACCCTTCTGGATAAGGATTTAGAAGGGGCTGGACAGAGACAGATAGAAGGAGAGGAAAAGTTTAGTGAGGCTAGAGGATATGAGAAGATCACAAAAAATATGGGAAACAACTGAAGACAGGAGAAAAAGACAGCGAAAGAACAGAGACAACAACAGAACAAACTAACAGCAATAGGGAAGCAAGAAACCGTATCTACATTCCTATAAGAATAGTGACAGTCAAGAGAAGGACAGAGAGACAGAGAAACAATTTGAAATGGGACAGGAACAGAAACAAGAGGAAGAGAAATGCAGAACAAGAAGGGAGAGACACGAAAGGGAAGGGGAGGGGAGGGGGAAAGGGAAAGGGAAAGGGAAAGGGAAAGGGAAAGGGAAAGGGAAAGGAAAAGGGAAAGGGAAAGGGAAAGGGAAAGGGAAAGAAATATATAAAGAGCCTCCCTCAGGATGTCTCTGCTGTCCTGGTAGGCAATGTGCGCAGCAGTGTGCAAGTCTAAGTCAATTAATCTCTGCAAGCGAGATTTGTAGTCTACAAATATTCAGGCTGATTTCTGGCTACAAGGTCCAACGTGAGGTCCCTGACCTCCTTCAGGATTGAACTCTGCAATCTACTGCAGGTTCCAGCTGTCCTCCCACCTAAGTCAGTCCAGGTTTCTATGGGAGGTACTGATCCCACTAACTTACCAACCACAGTGGTCCAGTGTGATTGTCTTCACTTTCCCAGGGGGCTTCTATTTTCGTTGAGGAACCTCAGAGAGCACCTCTCTGTTATTCACTTCTGCTCTATCTTATGGGGCTCATAATCATGGCCTTTATGGCCCGCCTGGCGCCTCTACAGTACAGATTCAGATTCCACATGAATGTGGTGTGCTCCTGCAGGGCTGCTGCTGGCATCTGCATGATGCAGCTCCTCTTCGATCCATTTTGATTTTCGTTTAATACATGCTAAGAGGTAAATCTAGATTCCATCTTCTGCTTGTGGATAGCCAGTTTTCCCAGCACCATTTATTAAAGAAGCTATCTTTCCTAGAGTATATGTCGTTGACCCTACTGTCAAAGATGAGATAGGTGAATGTGCCTAAAGTTATTTCTGCATCCTCTATTCTGTGCCATTGATCTACATGCTACTTTTGTGCTGATACCATGCTGTTTTTTTTTTCACTGGAGCTTTTATTGTACTAACTTTAAGTCAGGAATTGTGATGCCTCCTACTTTGTTCTTATTGCTCAGGATTACTTTTGCTATTCTGGGTCTCCTTGTGTTTCATATAAATGTTACAATTTTTTTTTCTACTTCTATGAGAACTATTATTGGTATTTTGACTGGGATTATATTAAAACTGTTTATCAGTTTTGGAAGTACAGTCACTGGTCCTGCCTGTCTGGGAACAAGGGATATCTTTCCATTTCCAGATATCCTCTTTGATCTCCTTTTTCATAGTACTACAGTTTTGATTGTAGAGGTCTTTCACTTCCTTGGTTAAGTTCAATCTTAAGTATTAAACTTTTTAATGTTCTTGTGAATAGTACTGTTTTACTAATTTCTTTCTTAGTGTATTCATTATTGATGTACAGGACTGATTGTGCAGTTACACTGTATCATGATATGCTACTGAATTTGGTTAATTCTACAAGTCTTTTGGTGGAATTATTTGGGTCTCTTATGTAGAAGATCAAATCATCCACAAATGGTAATTTCACTCCTTCCTTTCCTATACATAACCTTTTTATTTCTTTCTCTTGTCTGATCACTCTAATATTTCAAGCACTATACTGAACAGGAGTAGTGATGGGGACACCCCTATTTTCCTCCTGATTTTAGAGGAAAACCTTTCAGCTTCTCATTTAACATAATGTTGGCCATTGGTTTGTCATAAATGGCTTTCAACAGATTGAAATAAGGTCCTTCTATACCTATTTTTTTCAGGGTTTTTTTATTATGAAAAAAAGTTGGATTTTGTCAAACACTTTTGCTGCACCACTTGACATGACCTGTAGTTTTGTCCTTTTTTCTTTTTGTTTTTTTAGTGTATTACATTATTGGTTTGTGATTGTTCAACCATTCTGGGATGAAGCCTACTTGGTCATGATATACAATCTTTTTGATAATTATTGCCTTCTGTTTGCCAGTATTTTGTTGAGGATTTTTGAGTTGATATTGATTTAAAGAGATTGGCCTGTAGTTTTCTTTTTTGTTTGGGTCTTCTCTGATTTTAGAATCAGGATAATGCTAGCTTGCAGGAATGACTTGGGGAGTCCTCCTTCCCTTTCAATATAATTAACAAGTATAAGAAGTACTGGTGTTAAATCTTCACTGAAATTTTTGTAGAATTTATAAGTACTGCACTGATTGCACTACTAGAGATCCAGTTCTTGTAGAATTTAGCAGTGAATGCACCCTGGGCTTTTCTTATAGTAGTTAGTACTTATTTATTTATTTATTTTGAGGGGGTACCATGGATTGAACTCGGGTCCTTGCGCTTGCAAGGCAGGCCACCGAACCGCTGAGCTATATCCCCGGCCTGTTAGCAGTTTTTTAAATTTTTTATTATCACTTCAATTTCTTTGACTGTTATTGAAGCATTCAAGATTTTTATGTATTCTTGGTTCAGTTTTGGTAATTCGCATGTATCCAGTAATCCATACACTTGTTCAAGATTCTCCAATTTATTATAGTGCATCTTTACTATATGCTCTGGCTTAATCTGGGAGAAGGGAATGCTACAGATTCTACAGAAGAGTGAACAAAGGGTCTGTCTACTTTACTTACTGTTTCCAAGAACCAGCTCTTTAATTCACTGATTCTCTTTATTTTTAGTCTCAATTTCATTAATTTCTGCTGTTTGTAATTTCCTTTTTTGTACTAACTTTGAATTTGGATTGCTCTTGTCTTTCTAGGACCTTGGTTCTAGGTTCATGATTTGGTTACCTATTTGTGTTTACTTTGTTTTTGTAATGTGGGCATTCAGGGCTATCAACCTGCCTCTTGGGACTTCTTTCATTGTGTCCCATAAATTTTTTTCTTTAATTTCAATTGTCACAATTTAATGAAAAATTGGTTTTAGAAAGAGAATCCAGCTCCAGGATACATTCTCAGAAACAGGATGTACTGTTAAAGAGAGCCATAATATTACTAAACCACTGCTGGAGTTAATAATAACAACAACAGTAATAAAAGTAAGAGCAAGAATTATTCACATTTAAGAATGTAAATATAGGTGCCTCCCCTAGCTCAGATACTGAGTACACAGTGAAGTGGACTTATTCCCATGTGGACCTTCTGTGCCAGACACTGGAGCCCATCTCACAATCTGGTGATGAGGAAACAAAGTAAAGTATTAGAAGCCTGTGTGCATCCTACTGAATTGGTTTAACAAGGTAAATATGGCAACCAGACTCCATTTTCAATTAGGAAGTATAGGCTTAATGATTTAAAAATACTTTTTAAAAAATGAAATGAGACAGAAAGTACAACATTATAAACACTTGTATTTTCATTACTACAAACCACCAACCAATCTGTTACTTCATAATGGGCAGGTATGCTATACTGGAATTACTGTTTGATTCTAGGAACCATATAACTTCTTCCTTAATTTCTTCTATGACCCTCTGATTATTCAAAAGATTACTTAATTCCATGCATTTGCATAATTTCTGTTTCCTTTGTCATTGATTCCTAGTTTCATTGCACTATGATCTGCTAATATGCATGGCATAATTTCTTTTGCGTTTATTTAAGCATGAAAATAAAACTAATAGAAGAAAGGAAATTACAAAAGAAACAGAAAAGTAACTTCACAATACTGAGATCAGAGTTTCCAGGTGAAGTTTAAAAGACATTTTAAAGCCCATTACCATGAAATTTCAGAACACTGGGGAGAAAGAAGACTCTAAAACCATTTGATAGGGAGGAGAGAGAAGTTCACTAAAACCTAAATATTAAAAATGACACTGAACTCAACTTCCCTGCTATGATATATAGTTCAGTTTCCCCATTTGAAAGTCATAGGTGCTTAGGAAAGCTGACAATAAGAAGTTATCAAGTGATACATCTGAAGTACCTCTTGGCCTACTCTTAGCCACAAAGGTAAATTTTACTATAATGTGATCCCTATCACAACAGTATAAAGATCCCTCTTCCACCTTTTCATGTTGTAAAATCCTCATGATTTGAAGAACTTACTCTTAAAACAGGACCCTAAAATGCCCTTGGTTCTTTCCATTCACTCAATGGTTGGCTTGCTTAACTATATGGTTTTCCCAAATATAGGCAAGATGGATAGAAAACTACAAAAAAGAGAAAAGAACCTACTTGTTCCCTAATCCCATTTTTTTTTAAGTCACTACTGGAAGGAAGAAAGGTAAGTATAAAAAATTCTGCAAGATACAAGGTAGTTTTGTTTTAAAATTCTCAAAATATAATTCTGTGAAAAGCCAGCACATTTTTATTAACATTATAATAATGACATTGTAAAATAAAAGTTAGTATTCTTTTTGGTACTTAAACCTTAAAAAAAAAAAAAAAAGAGTCGTATTATGTTAATAAATATCAAAAGAGAAGGTTCCTACCTCCTTATCTTGATGATAGTAAGAAAGAACTGGGAATCTTCCCTTGCTCCGAAATTTGGAACTACCAACAATTATTGGTTTGCTTGCTATCCGGGGAACATAAAGTTCTCTGGGATAAGTTTCACAAATCTGTAAATATCAAAACATGACTGCTCGATCACAGTTCAAAAACAATGAGATTAAAATTCACCTTTAAAAACTTTTAAACTTATTAAGTGCAAGAACAGCATATCGCAATACATAGACAACTTGCTGCTATGACATCTTCTGCCCCTCTGGTACTAACATTTTCTGAATTTTCCCAAAAGGTGCTAAATTACCTTGTATTCTCGGTTGGCATCAGACAACTGCCAGTTTGAATTTGGCACTCCCATCCTCTTATATTCTTCAGCAAGGTCAATAAGCTGCCAACCTTGTAGTCGTTCTGAATCATTTTGTTTGGGATTATAAGAGAATGCATAGAGATCTTCGTATTTTGCTATAAAATACAGCATATAAAAATATTAAAATGTAATCTGTAAGACTTAATACATTATAATCAAAGTAATTTTTCCAATTTGCCCTCCATTTTTTCTTTGAAATTTCAATACAGCTAGTATGTGAACATACTGTACTTGAACTTAATATTCTCTAAATTGTGATACACATGATGTTATGTGAAAGCACATATATGAATCTGAGATTCAATCTGTCATTAGCAGAAGTTAAACTAATAAAGAAAATAGTTAGACTTATATTTTAAATCCTCTATTGCAATATTTTCCTAAAAGTTAAATTGTAAAAGCACAAATACTTCATACTCATCACTCTTCCCAAATGACATGTAAAATGGAAAGAACAATGCCATACTGAAAAACTAGAGAGTGCAGAGCACACAAAAATGAATTACATAGTCCTACAGCAGAGTGCAGACCAAAAATAGCAACCAACCTCAGGAGTGCACTTACTTCTGAAGAATAAGTCGAGAGTCACAGAAGCATCTTTACTATATGCTCTGGCTTAACCTGGGAGAAGAGAATGCTACAGGTTCTACTTGCTAGTAGAGAAGAATGAACACAGACGTGCTTCTAAGATCATCATGCAGTCCGCAACCCGGGCTGCTCAAATGAAATTCAGTTCAACAAGGGGAAAAAGGGTCTCCAAACCCGTGAGGCATAAGCAGGGAGAAGATGCCTCTTTAGAGCTTACATCCTTTACTAAACCATACCTCTACTAAAGTAGGATACACTTTTTCTCATCCTCCTGTTCATTTGCCTTTTGTCCCACCCTAATCTATTAAATATTTTAGTCCTAATGCTACCAGAGGACCTTGACAGTCCTTTTCATTTAGTAATATCATTTTCCAAGTCAATCCCCTTGTGTGTGGAATACCCAACTTTTAAAGTGCTCTTTGCTATCAAGAGATTTTTAAACTATAACTATAACTAAAATATAAATATATACCCTCTTCAGTCTGCACTACGAATGTTTTGCTTTGGACTCCATTCTTAAAACTCAGATCAATAATTTCTAATTATTTGTAGGATATAGTGGTGGGGGAGAAGAGGTGATAGTTGAATGCACAAGAAGCAGTCTGTATAACTTAACGTACAAAATAACAATAATGAGATAAATAACAATAATGAGATATTAAAGTACCTTGGATAACTCATCTCAAATTAAGCATGTAAACTTCGGTCTCTAAGAACAATACCTTGTTTTGACAGTTGTAGCAGAGAGTTATAAATATCATGGCAATCTCTTTCTCTGGGAACAATGAAATGCACAGTCCTGAAGTTCTTGCACTGAATCAAGAGAGGGCATCCAGAAGTAGTCAAAGGAAGTTTCTCTACTGAGGCAATATGGTGGTGTAATATCTACAGCATGAAAAACAATTTAAGTCACCAATGCAGAAAGAACTAAATATTTATTCTCTCTCAGAATGCATAAGTGTGAGGAATGCTCTCTCAAATAACGTCTCAAATACAATGTCCTAAACTTTCAAATATATCATTTTTTAAATGACTTGCATAGCCCTAGTCAGAAATGTAGGTAACATCCCTCATACCTTTGTCCATCAAAATAAATATTTACCAAGTAAATGACTAAAAAGTCCTTCTATAAACTCAATACTGAGCTGACTATCATTTCCACCTACTACTAATACTTTGTTTACTATTTTTAAAAGTCCGTGCTGGGGATTTAGCTCAGTGGTTCTGGCACCTGCTTCACAAGCGCAAGGACCTGAGTTCGATCCCCAGTACCAAAAAAAAAGTCTATTTTTTTTCAATACCATTCCTATTTTTTCATGGCAGGGTAAAGGATAATTATTGTATAATACACATATACTATATTATTATATGTTAATATCATTAGTTATATTACATGTTAAATCTAAAGTTCACATGCAAGATTAAATGCATTCAAATAATCAAAAAAAGCTTGATAAAGAAGTGTAATGAGAAAAGAACTTATCTTGTGAAAATTAAAACTATATACATCATAGATTATTAACACTTGCAGTACATACATGTAGCCCCTTTGTATGGCTAAAATTCAGCACCATTAATCTTTATATTAGTGAGGCTATGCTAACTTACTAAAAATGATCTAATGTGATATCTAAATAGAGAATAAGGGACAATACACTAACTATAGTTCTGTGACTACTACGATCTCAAATAAAATCCAAAAGTATCTGCAACATATTGAGGATATACTACTAAGTGAAATAAACAAGTCACACATGTGTAAATACCGAATAGTTTCTCTGGTGTAAAAAACTATAATAGTACACAAGATCCTAATGAGATAATTGTGTGAAATATAAGAAAATGGCTAAAGGTGTAGGGAAAGTGGGAAGGGTAGGGGAAAGGGGAATAAGGGAAAAGAAAAAAAATAGGAGAAAATGAAAAAATGGAAATAAAGTGTTTGTAAATGGGGAGGGGAAGGGAGAAGGGAGGGCAGGCAAAAGGGGAAAAATGAGAGCCAAGACCTGTCATGTAAAGGTACAAGATCCCAATAATGAATGTAAATGTACTATATACCTAGAATGTACCAATAAACTCAATGAGGAAAAAAAAAAAGTATCTGCAAAAGAATGAAGAAGGGATCTGGCTCTATCTGTACCTAGTTTATGTAACCCTAAAAAAAATAGTCATCTGTAAAATAAGACAACAGGATAAAAGGTAGGTAAGGTTCCTTCTAAAGTGAAAATGCTATTTCTATGGATCTAGCCTACTAAACGGACCTAATTCAGGAGGAATGCACAGGAATGTACTAGTAAGACAATACTTTAAAGACAACAGTAGGAGAAAACATACCTTTTCCTGTCTTTCTCTCCAACTGTGCTCTCAACATATAATGAATCTGAAGGGAAGACCTAGCCATCCTTTCTGAAAGAATGACAAATCTATACTTCATATGTGTTTCCACGAGATGGAAAACACAAAGAACAACTGAAGCAGGTAGGCAAAGGAAGGGTATACAGAGTGGATGATGATATGAGTACTGGTTTCACAAGGCACCATTCAGCAAAACTGTAGCCCTGGGGTTGATAAGGGACCCAATGCCTCTAAGGAATACAACTTACCCAAGGTTAGCCTTTAGCCTTGCTACAATCATACATTACCTGGATGGCTTTCTGGGGAACTCAAGAGTAAAAAGAGAAGGAAGTATGTGTCACAGCAGTGTACACCAGAACACTGTAGCTGCTCTAATCTTTATTCTATTGCTTAGAAAAACAGAGCAGCTATGATTTGCTGAGCCACTACTGTGCTTTAGGCTTAGATGCTATTCCTATTTTCTCTCATTTAAGAATCACAAAAAGCCAGGCATAGTGGTGCACGCCTGTAATCCCAGCACTCTCGGGAGGCTGAGGCAGGAGGATCACTGGGAGTTCGAGACCACCCTGGGCTACACAGTGAGTTCCAGGTCAGACTCAACTACATAGTGAGACAAACCAAAAACCAAAAACCAAAAACCAAAAACCAAAAACCAAAAACAAACAAACAAACAACAACAACAACAACAAAGAATCACAAAAGTCTCAAATTGTATAACTGATAATGTGAAATAGGAAGAAAAGGACTAAAGGTGTAGGGGAAATGGGAAGGGTAGGGGAAAGGAAATAAGAGAAAAATATGAAAAAAGGAAAAAATGGAAAAAAGTCTTGTAAATAGGGGAGGGTGGAGAGGGTGAAGGGAGGGAAGGGGTATGGGGAAAAATGAGAACCAAGATCTGTCATGTAAAGGTACAAGATCCCAATGATGAATGTAACTGTACTGTTTACCTAAAATGTACCAATAAACTCAATGGAAAAAAAAAATCACAAAAGCTCTACATGAAGACTAATGCTATCCCCATTTCATGGAGATACTAACCTCAAAGTTATACAGGCACAGATGCTGTGGGTCTGTCATCCTCTCCCTCATCCTTATAGGCAGTACTCATCTCCCTCAAGAGATCAATGATGCCCAAAATATGTGTTCTCTTATTTTGTGCTACCTGTGTGACACTAAACAAATCACTACCTCCCTTAACTTCAACTTTATATACAAAACAGAGGTTACAAAACCTGGCTTAGCCAGGACAGCAAAGAAACATGCTTAAGTCTCTCTCTCTCTCTCTCTCTCTCTCTCTCTCTCTATCATATATAAACAAACCTCACATTCTGTCTCCCTTTCCTATACTTCTGCTGAGTACTCATCATGCATCTTATTCATTTGTCTTTCCCCACTAGAGGACAAAATTCCTGTTATTATTGACATCTATTTCGAAAAAATATCTAGAATAGCGATATGAAAATATATAGTAGGTGCTCAATAAATGTATGCAAAATGAACAAGTGAATAAATAAGGGGAAGAACAAAGAGCACAAAACAGTCGTAACAATTTCGAAGAACAAGCTGAGAGTGAGCTGGAGATTCACCTCAGTGGCACCACGCCTGCCTCACAAGTGCAAGGCCCTGAACTCAATCCCCAGTAACCAAAAAAAAAAAAAAAAAAAAAAAAAAAAAAAAAAAAAACAAGCTGAGAGGATTTTCTTTACTAGATATTAAAACTTCCTAAAGTCAATAAGACATTGTGGTACTGGTACAGTATAGTCAATACACCAAAAGAATAGATCAGAGAGCTCAAAAAGAGAGTCATACACAAAAGATTTATTTATGACAAAGCTGGTTCTAAAGCCCAAAGGAATAAAAGTAAAAATATAGAACATTTATGATCTAACATACAGGTTTCTTAAATCACAGAAGAGCACAAGCCATAACAGAATAAAATGAAAAATCTATAATATTAAAAATTTTAATTTAATTAAAAGACAAACATAGTTTGACCCTCAAATTAGAACTGACCTGACATATATGAACTTGGGTTATTTAGGTTAATGGAAGACCCATCTGCCTCTTATTATCTATAGCATGCACCCTGGTAAATATCCAGATCTCAGCTGTATTAACTTAAAACCAACTTGAGTTACAACCCCCTTCATTTGCCATTTATTTTCCCGCCACCAAGATATGAGCAGCTTCTCTTCCACTATGTCCTTTTGCAGTGCTGTCCTGTCTTGGACAGTCAACCATAGACTGTTAACAGAGTGAAAATAAACCCTTCCTCCTTTAAGTTGTGGGGGTTGGGCATTGTGTTCCAGTAATAAAGAAAAGGGACTAAGACAATATTCAAATTAAAACAGCAAAACACTGCTATTGGTATGGTAAGCAGTCTGACTGTAATCCTTCTTACCCAGGTTTCTTTTTGATGAGAGTCTATAAATAATAGATGTGTGGCTGTAAGATACAGTGTTCCTGTTAATGACTTGTTGCTGGTACTGAACCGGTCAAGTAGTTTTACTTGTTCAACCTAAAAAGAAAAAAAAAAAATGTTAGCTTTCATTTTAAAAGTAGCATAAATCTTTTCTTACTCAAAGGACCTAGATGCATCATTTCCAATTATTTTCTTCTCCTGTCCAAAAACATAACAGCTTAGTTAACATTCAATGTTAAATATCTTCTATCTTCTGGGGGAACACACAAGTCACAAACAAAATAGGTATTACTTATTTACAAACATAAATAACAAGGAAGAAAGTTGTAAAAAAAATCAGTACTAATATTGAGAGGAGCAAGAAAAAGCAGTGCAGTATGAACAAAGAAAAACATTTTTTATATCTAAGAGTCCATTTTATCTAAAGTTGAAAAATCAAGTATATAAAGTTATTATGTAGAGTTCAAGTAACTACTAGGAAAATTGTATCAGGAAACAGTTAAATGTTCACAAACCCCAGCTTAGTTTCTATAACCTCACCATTCCACAGCAGAACAATGGTGTTTGTGGGTCCAGTTCCAGGCTTTTACTCAGTGTTCTTTCCTACACGGGTCTCTTCTGCTTACCAGAGTGCTAAGCATCTTAAAGGCTCGCTGATACGCTGCCTCAACACAAATCCTTGTCAGAAAATTAGCCACTCAGGTTTTCACCTTGTATGCTTCACACCTCTGAATTCCCTACCACAGCTTATGTCACATGCTGCACTGGTCTCTGTAGGCAGTGGGATGCACAGTATGTCTTTATTAATACACACATGAACACATACAGAGAGTTGTCACAGGAGCGAAGACAGGAATTAGGATTGGTCAGGAATGTGCAAGAGACTACTACTTTGAAATTTAATGTTATCTACCCTGATAGGGGAAAAAAGTACAATAACTACCAGAAGAGTTTAACTTACAGCTATAGCAGCAGTCGTCCTTTAAATTGTGTAGCTCTTCAAAACAAGATAGCTAATCATTATCTCTGTACTTAATCATTAACTCAGCACTTTTCTCTCACATACATTTTCTTTCCCCTTACTAAATGAACAACAAAATGTCCCTATTATGAAATTATTTCCAAAATAATCAATAACCACCACTTAAAAGACTGACTAGCTTCTATCTCTCCCTCACTCACAGCTATTTATTTCCATGGAGAGATTTTGCTTCAAAGAGCATTTGTTCAAATAAATTAAAATTTAATAAGCTTAAATGTTTTTTATATAAAACTTAATTCATATGGTTAAGACAATAAATTAACTGTTAATACTTTCTTCTGAAAACTTACAAATATGATCTAATTTATATAACTCAGGTCTGACCAGTGAATTTGACATGGAGAAACTGTTTTATTACATATTGACCCTTTAAGAAAACAGGGAGGCTCAGCTGGGAATGGTGGCACACACCTATAATTTTAGTACTTCAGAGGCTGGGGCAGAAGGTTTGTAAATGTGAGGTTAGCTTGGCCTACATAGTGAGACCCTGTCTCAAAATGAATGAATGAATGAATGAATGAACAAATAAATGAAAAGAAAACAAAATAGGAATGCTTCCTATAAATATGAAGATTTCTCTTGGAATTCAACTTTTATTTCATTTTTCAGAACACTTTGCCCTTAAGTAAAAAATCTAATTTCATTATACCACATGCAACAAATCAAACTTAAACACCTTTTAAGACGATGGGACCAACTACTGTTTACCCCTTTCCAATGGTGCCAGCTTTGGCTGGAAAGGGCCAACCAACAGCAATACCACAACATAGCTTTTACCTATTATTTTCCTTCCTAAGAAAATACTGTAAAACAAAGTTTTGAAGTCTCTAACCAAAAAAAAAAAAGAGAAAGAGAGAGAGAGAGAGAGAGAGAGAGAGACTATATATGGAAATAATGGTTATCATAAAGAATCAAAACTACTCAAGCTAACAATCTTTATCATTCTGTATACTTTGAGTAGCTACTGAATATATTAAAAAGTATATTGACAAATTGTTTTCTTCTAATTGAGGAAGACTTTATGATTACAAAATAAACAACTAATAATCTTTATAGCACATCGAACTTGGTGCCCTTAATTTATAAATCAGAAGTATGATATTGTTCCAATCATTTTTGGAAGAAAGCTAAACACTCATTTGCTTTATATCAAAACAGTCATGAAGTCAAAGAAAAAAGACATCAGTCAATTGTTTCCCTGTAGCCAGACAGTCCCGTCTAGGGTGATGAGAAACAATGATACCCTAAATGTGCTGCTTATGTTCAGTCTATTCCATAATCACTACAGGAAAACCTGCTTCACAAAAATAGGATATTGGAAATGGAAGCAAGCTTTTTAGTGCTTTTGTGGTATCTCAGGAATTGACTTTAACAAATTCTTTAAAGGGCAGGCAGCAGTACATGCATAACTGTCCTATCAGGCAGCATGGGACAAACCTGTCAGGTGGTACAAACCCAATGAGACAATCATGCATGCACCTCCCTCTGGTGGTTCAAGCCAATGGGAACGTGAATCCAGAATGTATGGAGATTAGAAGGTGTCTCAAAATCATCATTAAGGCCATAATCATTTGTGATCCCAAGCAGTTCATCCTCTTCTAGTATGGACAAAGTTGATTTACCTGGCTTATTTATAAGAGGATCTCAGATCCATTACTTCCCAGTTTGGGGATCACTGTGGGTTGAGAAGTAATGCTCAAACTCTTTTGAAAGGTGAGATGGGTTATCATGCATCCGCTGGGAGAAAGAAGGCCTTGGTCCAGTCTCTTTCAACAGCTCTGCTAAGTTTGAAACATGTCAAAAATCCCAATGTTCATGCATTGCTCAATTCTAGTTTGGTTTCCAATACAGTTATTTTATATGCCAGCCTAAACACAGCTGTCATTCTCCCCTGAAGCAAAGATTAGTTTTCTGAGCAGGTTGAATAAATCACATGATTAGGCAGGTTGTATGACCCATTCTGTGTCAATGAAAGTGCTGCCAGTGGTGACTTTTTCTGAAGAAATCACTGGAATAGCTCTAGTAACTAAAAAACTCTGGCCAGTGATATAACTTCAGAAAGCCATCTTTTTTCTTTGTATAAAAGACCTGTGTGCTCTGCATCCACTTCCTCACAGAGCTATGCCAACAGATGTGAGTTAAGTGAATGTTCTTTAATATGGCGATAATTTTAATCACATTCTGCAAAATATTAAGTTCAGGTAACATTTTTGACTATCCAGTTTTCTCTATAGATGACAGTGCATAAACTCACATTCAGAAGTGACCTCTTTGACCAGAATAGTGAAGCCAGAAAGCCAGAAAGTCATCCAGTCGGGCATATACCGACAGAAAATGATTATTTCAGCTTCCCTGATAAGTAATCATTCAAATACTTGGATAGTTCTGCAGCTGTGATGTTAGCTAGCAGCAAAAGTGCACATCTTCATGCACATCCTCCTATAAAATATATCACATAAAAACAAGCATTGTTGCCTTGTTGTCAACATACACAGACTCAACAATCTGGGTTTTGTGCCACAGTGACTCATTAATACTTTCTAACATTTGTTTCTTAATAACCTCTGTCATTTCGTCAATTCATCTAGCTATGGTGCTAGCTGAAAAACGAATGTATGCCACATTGTGAACCGTAGCCTCTCCCAAAAGTTCACAATAATATCCTCAGCAGCAAGCAAATCAAGTCCTCACCAACAGTAAAGGACTTCTTAGCTTTAGCAATTTAGCACTAAGAATGATGTTCTTAGTGCACACATTACTGATGAAGTAGTGGCCTTCAATAATTGCATCTGTTCTTCCTGTTCACGTTTTTTCTTTTCTGAAAAATTCCAAAGCCTTGTCATTTAATGCATGGTGTTTGGTCTTCACGTGGCAAAGCAGTTTTGAAAGTTTCATGGGCTTCAGTGGCTAGCTGCTCACCACATATTATACCAAGTGGGCTTGGAAAATGTGAATAACTTGTGGCAATAAATCTATAATTTAAGTAGGACACTTGGCATTTTCTTTTAAATGCAGCTTTCTACTGCTGGTAGTCTTAGAGTCTTCTGCTGCCTTATCACTGGCTCTTTCCTCCTTTTCAAAGAAGTGACATTTGTTTTTTACTCATTTTGGGTAGGGTTAGTGTGGGCTTACCACAACTTCTCAAGGCAACAGTGTGAGAAAGTGGATGCACATAAGTGGTAAATTAAATAATAAGTTCAGATTCTGGTTTAAAGCTTGCCACCACATGTAACTGTTCAATTGAAGTACATCAACTCACTTGCCGCTATAAATCCTGCCTCTAGTGGCAGCTTGTCACTTGTCACTCCTGACATTATTTCAATATTAGTCTGCAAACAACTAATTTATTATGGTCTCTACGCAGTCAAACCATTACTAATGTTAATCTACACTTGCAGCCACCCCCCTGTGCATTACTGCCTCAGCTCCACATCAGATCACCAGGATTAGACACTCATAAGGAGTGTGCAACCTACATCCTCTGCATGCACAACTCATAGTAGGGTTCATTCTCCTATGAGAATCTAAGGCCACTGCTTCAACAGGAGGCAGAGCTCAGGCAGTGATGAGGAACAGCTATAAATCCAGATGAAGTTTCATCCTCTTACCTGCCTCTTACCTCCTGCTGTTTGGTTCATATTCTAACAAGACCAGTACCGGTCTATGGTTAATCAAATGGAAATCCCGCTTTCTAGAAATCTTATCCACTGTCATTTATTTAACCTATTTGTTACTGACTCCCAAAAGTGTGTATCTATCTCTAATCTCTCCTAAATTCAGTCTGCTACACATGTAATAGTGATCCCTGACATACTAATGAGGTTTTACTGTGCGCCCAGTACTATGGTATTTAATATACATCATTTCATTTTTACAATTCCTATGTGGAAGATACTACCATATTATTATCCCCATATAGCTAGTAACAGCTTGTAAGTAGGAGTGCAGTTATGACCTGGTGTGACCTGCTCACCCTGTGTGGTCTGATTCTAGAGATGCAATACCTTTCCTGTACTATAAGGCCTCCACATGAATGTCTGAGTTGTATTAAATG